AGGAGGTGACCCCATGCAGGACAGCTGGGTTTAGCATTAGTTCAGCATTACAGCTCTGCTGCTGAGGCTCTCCTGTACAGTCATCCCAAACTGTCAGTCCAGTGGGAACTATTTAAAGTATGTTATACAATTAACAGAAATAAAACTGTGACAAGGGATGGTGTGGAACCTAAACATCATTTGAAGTGACGCTGGAACTTGAGCATTTTGGAAGAGCTATCTGTTACAAGCACTATCACAGTGTTCAAAAACATTGAAATACTGACTGTAAACACCAGAGTCCATTTGAACAATTTATTAGTATCCTCTTTTTTTACAAGTTTTAGAAAAAGAACCCCAGGATTTTGCCTCCTGTGTGTTTTCGCCTCGCCTCCTCATGGTCCATGATGCCAGCTGAGGTTGTCAGTACAATGTACCTGTCAAAAGAGAACAAATGTTCAGTCTATTCGCTCTGTTCCAGGCTGGTGCAGAGCTGACAGCACCAACTGCATCTCTCTGTTACAACAGCAAGACCTGTGCCCTGTAAGAATGGGCCTAACACTGCGAGATCAGGTTATCAGACAGTGACAAGGCAGCTCCTCTCATGAGCACAGCCCTGCAGCACACACGGGACATCCACAGCCTTCTGTTCCCCGAATACTGGCCTGTCTCCTTGTGCATTCCCACCGGGCAGTGCCCCAGCTGCTGCAGCAGCAGCACCTCAAAGATTGCTGCACCAAGTCCACTTCTATCTTCCAGGGATGCTGTTATCCAGCACAGGCAGAGCTGCCTTGGTGCCAGACAGCTCCTCAGCTTGGGGCTCTGCCTTGGGGCCCAACACCGCCTGAGGCTCTGCACTGGCTCAGTATATTTTGGGAAATACTGCATAATAGTAATATTTTCTGTGTTGTGGAGGTTTGCTTAACAGAGGCTCCAAGCCTCTCATTACTTAATATCTGATCAGTTGACATAAATCAAGACATTTGCATTTCAGTAGTGCAACCTACTTCCATTGACCTGGTAACCTACGTGACTCCTCCCCATTTACAAGTGGCCATTAATAGAACTAAAACAAGTATGAGAAAAGTCCTATTTTCTGTTAAACTGTAGAAATGGTGAAATGACGATTTACCAAAGTCAAGCAGAAACAGGTCCTTGCTTAGCAGTGTCTCTTTAAAAGTGGTTAAAAAGAGTGTTTATAGGGAAGATGGATTTCAAGACTGGTATTTACCTCCAGATTGATCAGAGGAAAGGTGTAGGTGAGTCTAACTCAGGCAGTTTGCACATGTAACAAACCCCCACATTTTTCCACACCAGCATTTAATTCTTCCTCACACTCACCCAAACTGACGTGAAGGCAGCAGGTTGTTCTGCCACTTTTCCAAATCCTTCAGCTGAACATCAAATCTGGGACTGATTACACCACACTGTAAAAGAGAATTCCATTACAAACTGAAGAACTCTATAGACTGGATTTACACATCTGTCATCCCAATTCAGTGGCTGAAGGAGTTTAACAAGTGCAGTTACACACACTCCATTACCCCCAGTATGAGCAGCAACTCCTCCCACCTGAGACCCTCACACAGGAACTATCCAGCAGTTATTTCCTCAGCCTCACACCCTCCTCCACAACAGACAAACCTGTGCTGCTGCTGAAGCTACACTAACCAAGCAGTGCCCAGACCTGGGAGACAGGAAAGCACACTATAATATCACCAAAACTCCTGTGATACTCTAACCATAGATTACCTCTAACCATCATCCACAGTAGCAAGAAATACATGTAGACTTTAATCAGGAAGAAATTAACATGCACAGGAGTTACTGAAGTTTTCCAGTTAATCATATTACTGACCATGACCACCACTACCATCTCCACTGGCTCCAAATACATCCATAACTATCCAAGAGCAAACCAGAGGCACACCTTCCTGCACTATGGACACTCTTCCAAACCATACAACTGTTCCCTTACTGAAATGATTGAGAGATACTTTATATCCAGCTGCACCTCAGAAGATCCATCATGAAATCATCCCAGCTGAGTTCAAGGAGCACTACACTCAAACATTATTACACACACGTAACTCTGGTCGTTTGGGAGTGTCAGAATTCTCTGCCTTGTACACTCAAGCAATTTTCAGCTGCAATATGTACTCAGCATGGAGACACCCCCAACATATTTTGACCAAGTAATTTTTTTAGTTCTTTACTAAAGAGCCACCTCTCCCTTGAAGAGATTAACTGGAAATGATGCACAGCAAGTCACCACAGAAATAGACAGCTCACTATTTTGAGACAAAAGCAGTTAAAAAACTTTCAAAACACACATGAATGACTCAAATGCCCTGGAAGTTGACAAGCACCAAATAACACAACATTTAACTTTCCATCAGCTCAAGCAAAGCCCCCCTGGCAGCATGAGAAGGGTTTGGCTTCTCCACACCTAAAGGTATCAAACATCAACTGGGAAACAACTCAGCTCCTATCGCTTAAGACAAGTCTTCCAGATAGTTTAAACATCAAATAACTGAGAAACCTCTAGGTAGCCAGAAAGCCTTTGAAGAAAGAGAAATACACAGCACTTGCAAGCAGACTTCCATTTAAATGTGTCTTGCACATTCAGAATTCAAAAGAAATGCAATTAATGACCCATACTATTATGGATCTCAAAACAATAATCAGCTTTTTAACTGATAATGTCATATTCCTCTCATTTACATGGATTCAACAAACACCACCTTCTTTACAAGCCATTCTTTCAGAACTGGAGCAGATAAAGTCAAAATAATAACAAAAGCATCATTTGAACACATCCCCGGAAAACCCAAATCAGGAGGGCAAACCCTACCTTGTTGAGTCTGCCTGTGAGGTTGACAACAATCTTCCCAGCTCTGTGGTCATCAATTATCTCAAATTCACCAATGTAACCTGCAGGGGAGACAAGCAGACTACCAAATATGTAACCCTTAGCTAATATATATATATATATATATACATATACACACACTTAAATGTGCATATAAAGCTACAGTAACACAGCTCATTCACCGTGTCACACAACACTAGCTCAATCCCCCTGATTTAGTTTCACTCAGGAGCACCCGCAGCCCCCAGGGGAGAGCAGGACCAGGACTCACCGTGCTTCATCATCACGGTGAGGAAGCGCACGATGACCTTGGAGCACGGCCGGATGAGGACCTGGCGCTTCCCACGCTTCTCTGCGTTGTTGATGCTCTTGAGAGCATCTGCCAGGACGTTCATGCGCACCATGGTGCCTGCAGGGGAGGGTGATGGGTTATGTGCACCAGCCCCTCAGCACAGAAACCCTCAGCAGCACTGCTTGTCAAGCCCAGGTTTAAACAGGTCCAAGACCGGCAGAAAGTCACATTAAACCCTAAACAGCACTCTTGGGGTAAATAAGAGAATCAAGTCATGCACTCAGGGGTGATCGAGAAGAGTGACCCATGACAAGAGTTGCACGACAAATCAGGAAATCTGACACTCAGTTAAACTTTGTATCACAGCACATACAGGAAAGTTTCAAACGCACCGTGTCAGCACTGTGACACCTTCCCCAGGCACGTCAGTTCGGCTTTACAACTCAATTATGCAGCACCAGCCCTGTACAACAACTGGGTCCTACGTGGTGTTAGATCAGCAGATGGTGCTGGGGTTACTGAGCTGCAAAACCACTGCAGGATGCACAGACAACACAGAGCTCCGGGAAGGAAACCCGCCACCAGCTCCAGTGACAATGCCAAGAGCCCGGGAGCACCCCTGGCAGGGCGGGCGTGACTCGGCACGGCCCCCCCGTCCCTAGCAGAGCCCGGGCGCTGCCAGAACCTGCCGCCACGATGCTGCCGACCGGGGCAGCCCTGCGGCACACGAGGGCTTTCACCACTTTCTGGGGGAAACCAGAAGACCAGCCCTGGCCGATCCATGCCCGTGACCCCCCGTGCGGGGCCCTGCCCGCCCTAGCTTCGCTCCCTCCTCCTCCGCACGCCCCAAGCGCCCCGGCCCCGCTGGCCCGCTCCCTGCCCAGGGCAACCCCGCTCCCCGCAGCCCCGGTCCGGTTCCCGCCGCCCATTGCTGCGGCACCGCGGGCGGGACGCGCCGCCGCCCGCTCGGCGGGCTCCGCGGGCGGCAGGGGCAGCCCAAAGCGGTGCGTGCGGGCGGGGCGGGTGCCGCTATCCGCGGCGGCGCGGGTGGGGCGGGCGGGGGGTCGCGGATGGCGGGGCGGGCAGGCGGATGCAGCGGGCCCGGCCCGGCTCGGCCTCACTCACCGCGGCGATGGCGGAAAAGGAAGGACCGCGGCCGCGCGGGACCATGGGAGCGCCGCCGCCCGCCGCCAGCTATCGCGAGACTCCGCGAGCCGGGCCGTGCCCGCCCCCATTGGCTGGGGGTGCGCGCAGCGACTTCCGGAGCGACGTTCCCATGGCAACGGGGACGCTTCGGGCAGGCGGGCGGGGATGGCGGGGCGCGAGGGACAAAATGCCTCGCGCCCACGGCAGAACGCGAGGCGGGCAGCGCCGAATTCCAAAAAGGCTCTTCGTGTGCCCCGAGTGTCCTCCCAGGGACACCGCGAGGGCTCGCACGGGGACACACGGGGGCCGCGGAGAGCAAAGCCACACCAGGAGGACGGGCTGTGTCCCTCCTGTTTGAGCGCTCGGGGCTGTGGCAGATGTGCAGCACCTCAGCCGTGTCAGCTCCCGGGAGCAGCCCCAGGATATGGGGCGATGTCACTGCCCGGCTTTTCACACCTTTTCCACCAACGGGCTGTGCCAGTTAAGCACATCACTTCCTAAACCGTTTCCCCCACATCCAGGATCTCTCTCGGTGACAAGCCAAGGCCAGTTAACCAGAGCACTTATGAAACTAGTCCCCCTCACATCCAGATCTCTCCCCATGACAGGCTTTGCCAGTAGAACACTTCCTAAATCATTCCCAGCTCCCCTTCTTGATTGGAAAACGTATTTACACAGTCTTCTGTCCATTCACAAAGAGCAAGTCTTGAACAAGTTTTTCTGTAGTCTGTATTTACCTATTCAACAGTTACAATAGACACTGAAGAGAGTTTCATTTTCAAACAGTAAACTTTTCACACATTAACACAGGTTTTAGCTTTTTAAAGAAAAAAAGTTCAGTTTTAAAAAAGGAGGGAAAGGCCATAGAAAAGCACAAACAATTCAGGCTTATTTACAGAGACAAACCCAGCATATTCAGAGTGATTTTGTATACAGACAACAACATTCATAAAACCAAACGTGCTACATGGCTCCATGACAACAGCAGTTTCCAGAACAATCAGCTGTTCAGGTAACACACACCTTCACTCATTTTCTACAGTCTCAGTGCAATGAGTTTACACTACAGCTAAATAACTGAACTACAGATTTATATATTCCAGACCCCTACTCAACAGGTAATCTGGTATACAGATTCAGTGAGACAATGGAAACACCTCCTGCTCCCATTTTGGGTATGCACCCTCAGCTATGGCCATTCTCATTCAGCTAATTGTTCTCCTGCCACAAGATCAGTAGTAACAAGCCTCCAAGGCCTTCAGAACTGCCTTTCATACCTGCTGCAGCCACAACTAATGATCAGCGAACTAAGACAGCCACAGAACTACTACCAGGAATCACAGCTCTGCTGTTGGGGTGTTTATTGACAGGGTTTCTGAGTTTGATGAAGACACTTAACAAGTTCCACACACCAAAGGAGAGGATCTCTCAGACAGGATCAGATGCAGGCTGCAGAACCCAACTCAGCACAGCAAGAGAGACAAACCCACAGCAGTTGCTGCAGTGAAATTTTCACTTCATCAGGGAGCCAATTAAAAAAAAAAAAAAGCCAGTGAGCAATGTAACTTCTATTGTCTTAATTATACGTTAATTCTCAAAACTGATCCCAAGGAAACCTTTAACTAGAGTGAACAGCAGCTAAGTCTTCATTCATTTTTCTTTTCCTTGTGCTTGAGAAGTTTGTTTATCTCCCTTTTCGCCATTCCAATGTACTTTGTGATGATCCCATGCTGGTTTAGTCCAGGAAACAGCAAAAAGAAACTTACTATAGAGGGGAAGAAAAAAAAAGAAGAATTAATACTCCCTTAATAAACATCTGTCACTTTGCAATTCCTTGCTTCCCTTAAGCCCTATTAACTGCTTGAAAAGAGAAAAACAGAACCCTGCAGCAAAACCATCCCATCACACTTACATCAGGAAAAATTACTTCTACCAGTTTCACCCCTTTTCAGAGAGCAAACAAAGAAGTCCCTCGTGTTTTGCATGCTCACACTCACCGATTAAATAAGTCAGGAAAAGATTGTGGACTTGCTGTCCAATCCAGGCAACCACGGCAAGAGTAAAGAGCATGGTCATGAAGTACTAAAAAGTGAAAAGGGAAAAGTCACCACAGAGTCTGTTGGGGATTCTCTTCCCCCTTCCCTTCAGTATTTGGCACCATGTCAACATTTAAAACTAACTGGAAGTTTTCTGGCTCTTCCACATGCAATACCTCTGCACAGGTGTGTTAAAATTGGGATTACAGCATCTGTAATTTTAAGTTCTCATTTATTTTCAGACCATCAGCTTTACAGGACTGTAGTTCTTTCCTGCCCAGATATCCCTGCTATCCCCACTGACACCACACCCAAGGCTGGTTTTGGGACACTAGCTCAGTAGTTCATGTACCAGATGACACACTACTAAGATCTAGTATTTTGGACTATTTGTGTACACAGGAAACAGCTTGTTTCCAAATATTTACCTATCCAGAGAAATCCAGTCTGGCTTTATCTTATTATCAAGGATTTGCTCCCAAATGCACGGAACTGCAAGTTTGAAGTCCTGTATCTTGCCCTCCAGGTTTGAATAAATGTGTGACCAGTGTCAAGTCACAGACAGAACTGTCAGTTCTTGGTTCAAAATACCAGTTCATTCATGCCTTGACAAAATACTTTAGACAAAGCTAAGCCAAACGAAATCTAAAAGACAACAGAGATTAACTGCTAGGACTCAGTACCATTTTAGGCTTCTCTTCCTTTAGAGCAAAGAGGCGTTTCCACCAGCCAACGATCCGGCGACGAGACTTCACCAAATTGTTGCAAATCTCATGAAATCTTTGCTGCTGTTCCGTAGTCCTTTTATTAGAGAAAAAAAAAAAGAAAAAAAAAAAAGCCCAGAAATAAGAATTCAAGATTTAATCAGAAACTTATAAAAAAAAACCCATGGCATTTTTCCAGCAGTAAAAATACATCCAGTGCTTATCCTGGTATTTGCTTTGCTCAGTTTTATGCCTCTTATTTACTAAGCACTGTAATGCAATTGTCCATGTAATTTTTCTCTGTGTTGACTCTCCTAAACTGACTATAAAGAACAACCATGTTCAAATCAGAAGACCACTGATCTTCACCTGACACCAGTGTAATATACACAAGTAATACACACCTGACATCAGTGTCTGTTACTTTGGCTTTTATGTCAGTACTACACAAGAATATTTACCCACTGGTCATCTTAAAGCAGATACACTAAAATTTACTTTAACTCATAATTTAGTTTAAATTGGGTTCTTCTCCAGCTTACTGTTCAATCACATCCATACTTTCTGCATTACTCTCTTCCTTCACCATATTTGCTATTGCTTCTTTACAAACATACACTCAACACTCTTCTACATAATTTTAGTTCTCAGTATCTATTATCCATTAATTACTAAAAACTAGTTTAGCAGAACTAATTAGCATCCTTAATGGAGAGCAAAGAATGTGCCTACTCCTTTGAAAAAAAAAAAATCTTATTTTTCCAGAAGAAAAGGAACAATAAAGGTCTGTTGTAGTAATTATCTTCTGGAAAAAGAAGAATGAAGAACATCTTACTACTGTCCTCACTTCATGTGTAATAGAGATTGCTGATTTCCCACTACAATGACTCAACGAAGTTATCATTTGGTGTCTGCAAATCAGATATCCACTTTGATAAAGTTCATCATGTATTTACGCTCAAGAAACTGTTTTAATTTAAGCTTTCCTCACCATTTATTAGAGCCAAAGATTCGAGGTGCGAGAGCAGGAACAAGGTAATCAGCCAAACAGAGGAACATAACGAAACAGGAGACACCTGAAAGAACTGATGGGTCCAAGTAGTAGATCATCCTGCAGAGAGAAGATAAGTTATTTCTGCATCCTCAAACTGCTAAATACTAGACATACTTGGTCACCTCTTCAGACTGGCTCAGAACTTCAAACAGTAGACCTACCCACTTGCCCAACCTCAAAAAAAAAAAAAAAAAAAATTGCTCATAAAACTAATAAAGAGAGGTCCGAGTACTTCAACACTAAAACAGAGAAATACAGGTAAAAAAATAATTTTTTTCTTAATGTACTAGACAAGAAAATGCCACAAGCAAGTATGTTAGGAAGTTCAGTAAAAATTCATCCTTATTTTTCTCTCAGAAGTTGACACCCAGTGAACTCAACACTCACTGAGGGATGAGGATGAGTAAACATATGAAATAACCAGGTAGAGTGAAAGCTCTAATTTTGTCGGTTCATAAGTCACAAAATTCAGATCTACTGCAGGTTGTCATTTGCTCTGCCTCACCTTTGGGAGCCAGATAAACCTGTTCCGCACAAGGAGCCTTAAATCTGCTGCACTGTCCATATTCAATGTGCCATCACTCAAACACGGCAGAAAGGAGACCGGACAAAAAACAGCTCATCTCCTAAGTGTCTGATAACACCCAGCTGTGCCCTGTGCTACTTAATTGCACTTCACAGAACTTCCTGAACACTGGAAATGACCCAGGGTCAGGCATTCTGTGCATCTGCACAGTGCAGAGCTGAATGTTCCAGTTCATTTTTGATGAAGTATCTATTCAGAACCTGAAGTAGTTCTGCATTTCCTCAAAGTATTATCCAACACAAGATCTTTCCTGTTATAATCACAGAGTTTATAACAGAATACCCTCAAGTTCATGCAATTACTTCTTTCAAAATCTACTTTTCGGTTTAATTTGATTTCCATCCTCCTCATCTCCCCTGAAGACCATAAAATTTATATTAGCCAGAAGAGTGATTATCCCTGACTCACCTGGGTCAATATTCGATTTTGGAACTCCTCTCTCCTTACTGCAAGCATAGATGCAACTGGTAAAGTGCACAGCTGGTGTAACACCTGCCTGCACAAGGCAGGTCAGGTCATCTTGACTATTACCACGTTACATAAAGGCACATCCAAGTGCCTCCAGCACCTCCAATCCAGACAGACAACATCCTCCCACTCCACTGACTGGAAGTTACCTGCAGTCTTTCCTTTCCTCCCTTCTCAAAGGAGATGAGAGAGAATGTAAAACCAACTGAACTCATCCTAAACACCACAGCAAAGATGCAGAATAGAAAATTTTGTCTTATGGAAAAATGCTTTCCATAATGATATTCCTGTTGGTTTTGGGGAAAAAAAGACAAAGGAGATCACCAGATTTGACTAAGAAGCAGGATACAAAGGATGAGGGCCGAACACAGATACACCACTGAAGAACATTCAGCTGAGCACAGTAAAAACTCCAGCAACCACTGCTGGGAAACAGCTTTTGCAGAAGGCTCTGTCCCTCCTCTGAACAGGACGTGACTCGTGTTACTTCCTGTTTTCAATACTTCTGGTCTTTCTAACAAAGTTCACACGCTGTAAGAAACAGAATCTGGAGTGAAAGCCTTCCTGCTAGATTTCTGAAGGTATCCTCCTAATTATCTTAATAGGTTTGCTACCTGCCATGGGGGTGCAATGGTGTTCCAGGCTCCCTCCAGAAGGTACTTACAGGAAAGCAAAGGAGACAACACTCATCAGTGCCAGGGGAAACCAGGCTCGCTCCCAGCGAAGGACTTTGTCCGTCAACAAAATCACTTCTCCCCATCCTTGCAGCTGCTCTTCCAAGCCTGCAGTTTCAGAAGCCTGCACAAAAAGAGAAGAAAACTCCTTTATTAACCAGAGTACTATCCCAATATTATCCCAGTCACAAACCTTTCTGAGTAATTAATTAATAATAATCTTGTGAGGTTTTTTTGTACTAAGATATGACATTGTAGCAGAGATACTTTAAAATAGTCAAGATCCTAGTGGAATATCTTATTAGATCAAATAATATCTCCTCCCAGATTTTGCCAAGGTGTTCTCCCCCAGTCTCCCATTTACCATACCGCCTCCCCCCAGATTAGGAGAAAGTCAAGTTTTAAAGCTTAGCTAAAGCCTCTCAAGTTTTCAGTGTCAACATGCGGAAAACTGCAATGTGAGAACTATTTAAAATAAATGCATTTTCAAAGACAACTCTACCACATTAAACTGAAGCTTTCTAGCTCCTGTCCAATACCAATTTCTTATTATGTGGAAGATGGATACAAACTCAGAATCCACAACAGTTACCCAAATGATCACATTTACAAAGAAAGTTTTCCCACAGATTGCCAGGGGCAGTGATCAGGCAGCCTTTAAACTCCACTTCCAGTATTATTCCTACATCCCTCCCTACACATCTCCTGCACTGGCATCAGCTTACTAAGCAGTTCACCTGAGGTGTTCCACATTTAACAGAGCTTAACAGAGTCCCCTCAGTGGGAGATGGGCATCTTAGAGATTACAAAACTCAGGTAACCACGAACAGAACCTAATGCTGCCCCCATAGCAAGAGCTGAAAAGTCATCAAGACCTGCACATCTGCTGTGCAGAGGTAGCAGAGCAGGCCTGACTCTCAACTACGTGCTACACTTAACTCCACCACTAAAACAGCAAAGCCAGCTGAGTGCAGCTATCAGGGTAAAACAGTTTTCTTGTGTGATACCACTGGAAACAACTTGAAAACTACAAAATAAAGTGTAGAAAACTATCTAGCATGCTGCTGAAACACCTTCCAGTTACACTTATTTCCAGTCATAAACAGAACCTGTCACGTGGAGATAAAAAAGCTGCAAGACGTTTTATGACAAACTGTTTTGCTTTATTACTTCTGGCTGTCTGCATTTAACATCACAACCAAGACAAAATTTAATGGGAAACAGACCGGAATATAACTGTTATTAACACCAGCCTGCCTCTGTCAGCCTAGAGGACAACTACTGTAAGTTGTTTTCCCACTGGGCCAGGCAGGGAAGACTTGAGACAGCTTTTACCAGCATCATCTTCACCCCCGAGCCCACCGGTCAGAAGTGTTTTCTCGCCAATCAAACAACAAATCTTCCAGAACTGCGAACTCCCGCTCCGAAAGGGGCATCCCTCCCGAACAAAGTATGTATTTTTGGGAACACAGTCCCGTGCACTCGTTCTGCAGGCTCCGGCCTGTCCCCAGCCCTGCGCTCCTGGCAGCTGCTCCCCGTCCCCAGCCCGTGCGGGAACACCGCAGCGCTCCAACGCTCCCAGCCTCTCCTCCTTCGCTTTTACAGCGATTTCAGCGTTTCCTACGGCAGCCGTTTACCCCCACAGAGATAAATATGCAAATCTCCCTACTTAAGCATTCGAGCCCCCTCTTCGCACGTTAGCTAAGCTCATCACCGGGCTCCTGCCGCTCTCCCGCACCGCTGCGGCGCTCGGACCCGCAGCAGGAGCCTGCTGACAGCCACACAGCCACAGACAGCCACAGACAGCCACACGCACAGACATCCAGGGCAAGCACCGCTCGCCAGGTAACGCCGGGTGCCGGTGTGGGCTCCGGCACAACCGCCGACGCCGCTCCCCAGGCCGGTATACGGAGCAGCCGCCCCCCCCGCGGCCCCGCCGGGCCCCGCGCCGATCCCGCACCGAACCGCCTCACACCGCGCGGGCAAGGCAAGGCAGGGCAAGGCAGGGCAGGGCAGCGCGGGCCCGGGCCCCGCCAGCCCCTCCAGGGCCCCCGCGGGGCAGCGCCCCGTGCCCGCCCTCACCAGCTGGTAGGCGCTGTTGTTGTCGCCCTCCGCCATCTTGCACACCCACAGCTCCACCGCCCGCCGGCCACGCCCTCCCGGGCCCCGCCGCGCCGCAGCCTTTTATAGCCTCCGCGCGCCCCCTGGGCCCTCTGATTGGCCAAGCCCCGC